AGAGGGGTGGGGATGGTGCTGCACCCAGCTGGTGTCCAGTCCCTGGTGCTGTCCCCAGGGATCTGTGTTGGGCCCAGTCCTGTTTAACATCTTCACCGATGATCTGGGGGAGGGGATCGAGCCCACCATCCCCAAATTTGCAGGTGACACCAAGCTGGGTGTGAGTGTGGATCTGCTGGAGGGCAGCACAAGAAGACACAGCCTTCAGCTGCACCAGGGGAGGTTTAGGCTGGACAAGAGGAAGAAGTTCTTCACAGAAAGGCTGAGTGGGCACTGGAATGGGCAGGCCAGGGGGGAGGTGGCAGAGTCACTGTCCCTCTCCAGTGGCACTCAGTGGCATGGTCTGGGTGACAAGGCGGTATTAGGGCATTGGTTGGACTTGATGATCCCAAAGGTCTTTTCCAGCCTATTTGATTCTGTCATTCTGTGATGATTGGGACACTCTGGGGCCATTGTGACCCTGCAGGGCCTGGTGGAACTAAGAGGACCATGGTGACACTGTGCAGCCCCATAGAACCAGGGCTCCATTGTGGTGCTCTGGGGCCCAATGGAACCAGGGAGTCCCCGTGACACTGGGTCCTGGTGGAACCACAGAGGCCATTGTGACACTGCGGGGCCTCGTGTAACCGAGGGGTTTCACCATTGTGACACTGAGAAACCAAGGAGAGCATTGGGAGAGTCCAGGGCCCAGTGGAACCAAGGGGACATTCTGACACTGCGGGGCCTCATGGAACCAAGGGGACATTGTGACACTGCAGGACCTTGTGTAACCAAGGGGCCACTGTGACACTCTGGGGCCTCCAGGAATCTGGAAGGCCCTTGTGACACTGTGTGGCCTCGTGGAAACAAGGAATCCATTGTGACACTGAGGGGACTTGTGGAACCACAGAGAGCATTGTGACAGTGTGGGACCTCATGTGACCATGGGGCCTTTGTGACACCCTGGGGCCCCATGGAACCAAGGGGCCACTGTGAAACTGCGGCACCAACGAGAACATTGTGACACTGTGAAGCCCCACGGAACCAAGGAGTCCATTGTCACATTTTGGGGCCCCATGGAACCAAGGAGACCAGTGTGACAGTGCAGGGCCTGGTGTAACCAAAGGGACATTGTGACACTGAAGGGACACATGGAACCAAGGACATCTTTGCAGATGACACCAAGCTGGATGTGGGTGTGGATCTGCTGGAGGGTAGGAGGGCTCTGCACAGGGCCCTGGACAGGCTGGATCCAGGGACCAAATCCAACAAGGTGAGGTTTAACAAGTCCAAGTGCCGGGTCCTGCACTTTGGCCACAACAACCCCTGCAGCGCTACAGGCTGGGGACAGAGGGGCTGGACAGCAGCCAGGCAGAAAGGGACCTGCAGGGACTGATGGACAGCAGGCTGGACATGAGCCAGCCGTGTGCCCAGGTGGCCAAGAAGGCCAATGGCTCCTGGCCTGGATCAGGAATGGTGTGGCCAGCAGGAGCAGAGCTGCTGTGCCAGCACTGATCTGCCCCAGCTCTGCACACAGACATTGCTGCTGCAGCTCCAGAGAAGGCAACAAAAGGGCATCTCTGCAGAAAACTCTGTTGGGAGATCCTTGAGTTCCTATAAATCCACTGAGAGCACAGCCCCTTATTTGCACAGTCTGTGGCCAGAGGGAGAGAAGCAAAATGAGAAATGGCACAAGGAAAGGCTTTCCTCTGTGGACAAGATTAAGAAAGTAAAACAAAGAAAAAGAAACTCCAAAATGAAACCAACAAGAAATATCAAAGAAGACTTTTATTGCAAGTAATTTGCAGAAACTGGCCAGCAGGTTAATGTTCCTGAAAGCATCCAGTCATCAGTCTCCACACTGCAGCCTTGAGCTCCTGGTTCCTCAGGCTGTAGATGAGGGGGTTCAGGGCTGGAGGCACCACCGAGTACAGAACTGACAGGGCCAGATCCAGGGATGGGGAGGAGATGGAGGGGGTCTTCAGGTAGGTAAATGCAACAGTGCTGATAAACAGAGAGACCACAGCCAGGTGAGGGAGGCAGGTGGAAAAGGCTTTGTGCCGTCCCTGCTCAGAGGGGATCCTCAGCACGGCCCTGAAGATCTGCACATAGGAGAAAACAATGAACACAAAACAACAAAATGCTAAAAATATAGAAAACACAAGAAACCCAAGTTCTCTGAGATAGGATTTGGAGCAGGAGAGTGTCCTAGTTTAGGGCAAATTTGGGGAAAACCCTCTGAAAGGAGCCCCCAGGAAATAAACCCCCACGGCCCCTCCCCATCCACCTGGTTCAGGGAAAAATTTCCTCTGAGAGAGAAGTGGAAAAGAACCTGTTTATTCACCGAACAAAGCACTCCCCAGCACCAAAACAATTAACAACACCAGATGACAACAAAACTCTTTCACCACTCTGAAGAGATGAACAAATCCAGAAGGTCTTTCCTGGGAGTGGTCGCCCGGGTCTGGGCACTGGGGATTGCTCTCCAGCACTGGGGATGGCTGCTGCAGATCACAAAATGCAGGCTCCTGGTGTTCCTTGGTGTTTCCCAGATCCCAGTCCAGAGCAGGTTGGATGGTATTCAGGAAGAGGAAAGGAAAAAGCAACAGTCCAGGGAAAGAATTGGACTGCTTAGCTAACCTAACTAGGAAGCAATGGCAAAAGCAGAAGCAAGCAAAGCAAGCAAGCAAAGCAAGCAAGCAAAGCAAAAGCCAGCCAGGCAGCACCAGCCTTTTCTAGACAGCAGACCATGGGGGGAGGTGAACCAGCTGATAACAAGGCAAAACAAACCTTCACTTTCAGAGTCAGTTCTGAAAGCACAGAACATAATATCAAACGTAAACAGAACACACGATTGGAGATACAAACACCATAACGTCACCCTAGGACAGTCACAAGTACTGCACTGAGAACTAAATTTGGGGTTTTCCTTTCAGTTTTTGAATAGCTGTAGTAATGACTAAAATGGTCTAGGTTTTGTTAGGTAAAATGGTCTAGCAAAACCTAGAATTTTGCTTGCTTTTTTAATATTTTTTTTCATTTAATGCAACCTTTCTATCCCTGAAATCAACATAACAAATAAGATATTAAACAGAAAGCAGGAAGAATGATGGACCTTCAGCATAGTGAATGTGAACACAGATTTCCAATATGTGATCACTTTATAAAGTGAATTTGATGTTAATTGAATGGGGTTAGGGGAGTAGAAAAATGCAAGATGAGAAACAGTCTTTATGAACCAAAGTAAAAATGTGTGAGAACTAATGAGAGTGGTCACTGTTAATGAAGTTCATGGACTAGAAAAAATATGACAGAGTGCTGCTGACCTCTCTGAAATGGTTGAGTGTAGAGCTGCAATGAGATTCCAAAGTAAAGGCTGCGTGGAATCTCATTTGGAAAGTCCTTCAAGCAAAGACAAAGACAACCACAGAGAAAAAAAAAAAAACCAAAAAAATTTAAAAGAGAAAGGTTCCTAATATTACAGTGACAGGACAGATGCCAAAAATTACTCTCCAATCACATCTACTTGCCAATTTAAATATACTGGAATTAAATCCTTAGGATTTAGATATAGCAAAATCACAGATGCTGGAAATGGTTACAATATAATAATAGATTTCTTTGCTGTGAGTGTATATAACATTTGGAAATTATTCACCAAGGACTGTGTCATCAACTGTTTTCCGATGCAAAAAAAAAACCTGCTCTCTTCAACAGTAGTTAATATCTTTTGATATCTAGTAGAGCTATCTTTTAAAATGGACATTTAGACATTCAATTAGAAAGAAGATAAAAATGACTGTTTTGAGGAAAATAGTCATGAAAATGTTTATTTTACACATCTGAAGCAGAATGTCAGTACTTAACAAATCCTAATCAAAATGAAAGTCATCTGGAATATATCAATCCAGACATAACTAAATAACCAAATAACCAACCAAAAACCAAGCAACCAAAGAACACACAAACAGACAAACCGAAGACACTGAGACATCTGAAGCTGTTTTCAGGGCATTGCCAGCTCTTCCTGCCTTGTTGGTGGCCTCTGGTGACTCTTCCAGGCCGGTATCCATGGCTATGGCTGATCCTAGGGCTGGTCCTGCTTTTCAGAATGAATTTTGATTCCTTATTTTAAGCAGGATTTCTGCTTATAATCTACTCACTCCGTTTGATTTCTGCTTTGTCCTAATTCATCTCTCTCTCATTGATGGGCGGGATCTTGGGGGGCAACTGTGTCAAAAGCCTTATAAAAATCCATTTAAGTCAGCAGGCAGCTCTGACACATCTTCCAGGATAACCATGTGGTGCACAGCAACCACTTTCTCAGAAGCTCTTCAACCATCACAGCTGCAGCAGGATTTCCTGTGTGAGGAGGTGCTGCCAAAATGGTCCTGTGGCTCCAGGGGCTTTCAGCTGATGGTGGGGTGTGGGGGTCAGGCAAAGACATTAGAAGGAGAAGAAAGCAGAACCCAGGAACTTTGTCAGAGAAATAGAATTTTTTTTCTTTTCTTGGCAAAAGGGTTACTAGAATCTCACTAGTGCCACCATCAGGGTGGCCTCTTGCTGGCCCTTTCATGTCTCCTCCATCTTCCCCACAGGGAACACTGTCCCCAGCTGAGCAGGGAGCTGCAGAGCCAGAGCCTGTGGGTGGCCTTCTGCCCCAAGTGTGGGCAGGACTGTTCCGACAACAACAGCACATCCTGGATTTCGGCAAGGTGGAGGGGAGGTCTCCCTGCCTGTCTGTTGGTCCCCAGCAACTCTCCTGCCTGTCTGCTGGTCTCTGGTGACTCTTCAGGGGAGCTGATGGCAAATTGTATGTAAGTCCTCTCCACCCCACTCAGAAAACCTGGTAGTCTCTAGTGGACTGCTGCAGAGAGGGCAAGCTGGATTTCTTTCTGCCTGCTGCAGGATACCAGGCAGAACTGCTGGTGACAGGGAAGAGCAGAAGCCACGTCATTCTTAGTGACCTGACAGATGGGGCAGCTCCACTCTGTCTCGTGGCCATGTCTGCCTGTTGCAGCAGAAGGGGACAGATGAGGACTAGGCATGCTTGGCAGGAGTCAAGAATCAATCCGGTCTGGACCCAGGCTTGGCTGGCACCAAAATTCAAGCAGTGAAGGATGAGACCTCATATCCATCCCCCAGTGCTGTCACAATCCACCACTCAGTGGTGGATCCCACAGAGGGACATCAGCACCTGAATATAAACAGAAAGGAGTGCAAGGTCGCAAAGCACTCCCATGTGATGTTATCCTCCACCATCCAGTGACATCACAATGGGACATCATGGCACGCCTTTGTTCCCTCTCACCTCAGCACACAGGTCTGGGACTGCTGGCAGATATTGCCATGGGGACAGACATGGAGGGTCACCAGAGGCCAGCAGCCAGGCTGGGTCAGTGTTACAGCATTTTTGAGAGAAAGAGGGCATGAATTGTGAAAGTTGAGCTACTCCAGGCTAGGCCTCAGATTGAGGCCTGGTGGGGCCCTCAAAACCTCTGACGCAGTTAGAAATTCAGGGTTGTGGCGCAGGTAGAAAATAGTCTTAAAGTACTGTGGGGACCACTGAGTTGTCTGGGTGTGAATTAGTATAGGTTTTATGGTGTAAAGTGTAGGCCGTTTTAAGGGAAAGGTAAACAATGTTAGCCTACCAATTAGAGTGTCTTTGTTTCTGTAAACTATGTGGAAGCTTATATAAACTACCACCTTATCTTGAATAAACGGAGAACGTTGCATTAATCATATTGATTGAATGTGCGTTTGTCTTGTCCAGCTTTCCGTTTTTCTGAGATTCCCTGGCTTTAGGTCAGTGCCCTGAGAACAGCCCCCACGGCCCAGTGCTTCTGGGTGGCCTCATGCCCAGGGGCTCGGCAGGACTAATCCATTGAAAATGGCATTTTCCAGACTCTGTGTGGCCCTGGTTGAGACAAAGGCAGGAGGGAATACACTAGGGCAGGTAGTGGCTGGCAGGAGCTGTGGAGAGCAGCATCCTGCACAGAACAGTGGCAGAGATGCAGGAGAAGCCAGCAAACTGGAGGCCACCTCCACCAGGGCTCCCAGTAAACTTTCCCTTCTGTGCCTGTCACTGCAGAGCAGGACCAGCCCCAGGAGGAGAGGATTTTCTCCAGTTTCAAGATAATCTAGATTCTCTTGCCTGTTGACCACAGGGAACTGATAGAAAAACAAATAAAAGGAAAGCAAGGTATAAAACAAATTGGTTTCTACTAATGAGGCTTTAATTACAGTCCTCGAATCTCCAATTTCCAGTGCCTTCAAAAAAACCACTTCTTTCATGCCATCAAGTCAGTTATTTCCATATCTGACTAGCTCAATAACCAGTTAGCCACTTACCTACTTAACAGCTCTCAGAACAAAATTGCATTCAATTAAGTTATGATATCAAAGTTAATCATAGTCAAAGGCTTCAGCTACTTTTCACATTACACAGGAAATCATGTGTCTTAGTACTGTTAAAATCTGCTTGAAGCTGCAACTTTGGATTTAGCATGTGCCCGATTTATCTGATGCATACTCTATATATTCGATAGCCAATAAAAATAAAAGGTATGTATGAAATAAAAGGTATGTATGAAAGATGCATTGAATCAGTTATATATCACTAATACTTTCTGAAAGACTAAATGTGGTCTGCATTAATTCTGAAGTTCATCAGCTGCCTACATTTTTCTATTCTTAAAATGTAAAATTGTACTGCTTTCAAAAGAACCTTCCTTAAACTGCTAAGTAAAAAGTTGTTTGCAACATATTACTTCAAACAAGAAGTGTTTCTCAAATATTTTACAAAACTTAGTGATAATATTATCTTCTTGCAAAATTTCACATTCCTGTACAGACCCAAGCCAATTGTGCTTAAGCAATCATAATTACTGCACTATTACTGTGTTCTTCTACACTACAAAGTACATATTATTTAATGTCAGTAACTTCATTTTATAAGCTAAATTAAAAGTTTAAGACTTTCCATTAGGAATCAAAGTGTATCAATCAAAGTATTTCAGAGATTAAAATGTGTGAAAATACCACAAATACATGAAATTGCATTCCTATACAGCATGTAAACATAGTAAAATATCATGATCATGACAGTTACATTTTTCCACTCTAATCTTTTTCTGAAGATTTGCATGTGTACCAGGTGTGGTAGGTAAGGGACAGGCGAGTGGAAGATTACGGGGTGTGACGGAAAGATAGACCCCTCCCCCTCTCTCTCTCCCCCACGCTATCTATTGACCCCAGGAGCCTCAGAAGAATGCAGCCACACCTGCCCTGGTAAATTTCCACTACCCGACTAATCCCTGAGACCCCCAACCCCCCTCTGGCGTAGCAAAAACCCCCAAAACTTTTTAAACCCACGAGACAGGATAATAAATGCTTTTCAACCGTCTGCCATATTGGTGTATGCGTCTGTTGATTAGCCCGAGCAGCCCGGCCGAGACCAGGCTGCCGTGCTGCCATCTGAACCAGGTCCCTAGTTGTCCTTTATAAAGGCAACATACTGGTGCCGAAACCCGGGAAAAAAGAAGGAAAAAAAAAGGAAAAACCCCCCGGTGGACGGGATACACCTGGACAGAAGCAGCGGCCGGAACGGTCAAACCGTATCTAGGCGTAGGGGAGACGTCCCCGGGGCCCGCGAGCGTCATGGGCAGCGTCGCATGGGTCGTGAGTATGAAGCAATGGAGTATCGCGTTTAAGCTCAGGGACTTTTATCTTGCTATAGCAAGGCTGCCTGAGCTTGGAGCAACCGAATGCTCAGTGGATGCCATGCATCCGGGAATATGGGAACAGTGTACAGCCACGCTAGCCAGGGAGGCGAAATCCTCAGACAGTGGCGAGAGCCCTAAGGCACGGGGCAAAGTAGAAAAAGCCCCGCGCAGGGCAATAGAAAAACAAGAGACGCAGAGTACAGCGCGTACGTGTTTATTAGTTAAACCCGAGCTCGGGACAGGGGCGAAAGCGCGGACCGTCCCTGAGGAGGGTCCACCCGGGAGCGAAGACCCGGAGGGGCTCAGCGCGACAACCCCTTCCCGGGATCAGAGCCCGGCCCGGCCCCGCCGCGGAGCTGAGCCCAGCCCAGCCCGGCAGAGGCAGCGCAGCCCCCGGGGCGGCGCGTTCCGAGCGGCGCGGCCCCGCTCCCGCCGGAACCCGGACCCGCCCGCGGCCCCGCGCCGCTTCCCCGGCGGCGCGCCGAGCGGAGCGGCGCCGGGCCCCCCCGCAGAAACCCCCCGGGACACCCCCGCCGCGGAAAACCCCCGGGGAACCCCCGCCGCAGAAAAACCCCGAGAAACCGCGGATTCCCGATCCGTCCCGCCGCCGCCGGCGCCGGCCAGTGATCCGTTGTCAGGGGCGCGGCGACGCGCGGAGCGCTTCTGGCGGGGGCTGGCAGGAGAAGCCAGAGTCGCGGAAGCCGCAGCTCAGGAAAAATCCCCGGCAGCGTGGCCACGCTGCCGCCTTGAAAATGGCGCCAGATGCCGTGGAGGGGGGCGGAGCACTAGTAGTCTCGGCGCGAAAACTCGGACACCGCGCGATTTCAGGGGCGCGCGTGCGCGGGAGAAAGGGGCGGAGAGCGGCAGAGAGCGCGGAGCCAACCAGCGGCCGCGCCGGGCGCCGCCACCATATAAGGCAAAAACCACCCCCCGCAGGGGGCGCGGTGAGCCAGGGGGGCGGGAGCGGCCCCACCCCCGCGGGGAGGAGCCAGCTCGGGGCCGAACAAAACGGCGCGGAGCCCCGGAAGTACGCTGGCATTTGACTTCCGGCGCGGAGCCTGGCGACAGCTCTGCCGGCTCGGAGGGGCCGGCGGAGGCCGGCCGGGACTCTAAAACGGAGAGAACAAAGCCATCGCGATTCAAAACAAAACCGAATAGAGTTCTAAGCCGCACCGAAAAGCGGTCACAATACCCCTTGGAGCTGCGGGAGAAAAGAGCATCTCGCCAAAGAATACAGGTCCCAACCCCCGGACACACGAGGGGCGGGGGGGGGTGAGCGCGCGGGCAAACTCAGCCTCCTCCCACCGCAAGCGGCGCCCGTGCCGCAGAATCAGCAAGAAACGCCCCGATATGGGACCCCCGGGTGGCCCTAGCCATGAAAGTGGGGAGAAAGCCCCCGGGGATGTGTGGAAGACATGCCGCCTCTGTGGCAGTCAGGACCCCCACGTGGTGAGACTATGAGAGCCACTGCTGCACACCCACTGCTGCCAGCCAAACCTGACCCTCAAAACAAAACTAATGAGAAACTGTGAGTCTTGTTTACAGGACACGCTGGTAAACCATCCCCGTGACACATACACCCCTGCTCCAGAAGGAGATGACAGACCACCAAACTGCCAGACAACACCTGAGAATCCCACGGTGGTGAGATCCAAACATGCACAGTGTCTTTCTTCATGCAATTTTGCTGTTAGAGGCTTGTGGCCAGGAAAACAAGCTGGCCCAAGCCACTACCCTCATCAGCTATTTAGGTGGGTCGTGCAACAAGTAACAAGGTGCTCAAAAAAGTCACCATAATAAATACCCCATCCTTCGTGTTCCACATAGCCAGCCTGTTTAGAAGCTACCTTACTAACCCTAAATGAAACCAAATCAAACCTGACTAACCCCTATTAGTTTTGCTATGATATTAAACCCACTTTTCTGCGAAGGCATTGCTTTAAATACCCCCTTCAGTTACTCCACAGCCAATACCCCCCACCAGTACAGATAAGACACTCCCCGCAGAAGAATCACCCTGAGTCAAATCACAAGACAAGGCAGATGTTTTGAGAATGCAACCTTAGCAAAGCAGAAAAACAACTTCTGCACTAAAGTTGTCAAGCCTGACAGAAAAACCAACAAGTGAATGACCCCATCTGCATCTAGGCTGTGAATTTGCCAGAGATCCAGAGTGAATCCTTATATGTTCCTTGCCAAGTTTAATAACTCTATCAATTTCTGTGTTCAAGTTCTGATTGCTTCTAAGGTCCTACATCACTCAGACGAAGAGATATACCATCTTCTCAAGGAACCTGACAGACTCCACAAAAGGAAAATCATCACAGGTATAACTATCGTGATGCTGCTCGGCCTGGGAGCAGCTGGCACAGCCACAGGTGTCTCAGCCATCGCAACCCAGCAGCACGGACTCTCTCAGCTGCAAATGACCATCAACGAGGACCTGCAGAGGATCGAGAAATCCATCTCCTACCTAGAGAAATCAGTCTCTTCGCTTTCAGAAGTAGTTTTACAAAATAGGCGAAGTCTGGACCTTTTGTTTATGCAGCAGGGGGGATTGTGTGCAGCTTTGAAGGAGGAATGCTGCTTTTATGCAGATCATACAGGAGTCGTTAAAGACTCCATGGCAGAACTCCGAGACAGACTGGCTCAGAGAAAGAGAGACAGGGAGACCCAGCAGAGCTGGTTTGAATCCTGGTTCAATCAATCACCTTGGCTCACCACTTTAATTTCCGCCCTGGCAGGTCCACTGGCAATACTGCTTTTAGCTATTACCATAGGACCATGCCTGCTGAACAAACTAGTCTCATTTGTTCAGGCCTGTCTGGAAAGGGCAAACATTCTGTTCATAGGCCACCAACAAATGCTATAAACCAAAAAACTGCAAACACAGTCAGTAGCTAAAGCCTTCAGCACCTGCCTTGAAAAATCTACCCAGATCTACTAAACCACCCTTTCCTTAACAAGTTGCAAGTTTGTACCTCACTCCAGTGCCTATACCTACGACTACCTCATTTTGTATGTGATAAGGAGGGGGGAGATGTGGTAGATAGGGACAGGCGAGCGGAAGACCACGGGATGTCACGGAAAGATAGACCCCTCCCCCTCTCTCTTCCCCACTTATCTAGTAACCCCAGAAGCCCCAGAAGAATGTAGCCACACCTGCTCTGGTAAATTTCCACTCCCGACTAACCCCTGAGACCCCCAACCCCCCTCTGACGTAGCAAAAACCCCCAAAACTATTTAAACCCACGAGATAGGATAATAAAGGCTTTTTGACCGTCTGCCATATTGGTGTCTGCGTGTGTTGATTAGCCCGAGCAGCCTGGAGAGACCAGGCTGCCGTGCTGTTCCCTGAACCAGGTCCCTGGTTGTCCTTTATAAAGGCAACAGGGGTTGGTCAGTGGGGTTGGTCAGTGGGGTTGGTCAGTGGGGTGGGGTTGTTGGGTGGGATTGGTCAGTGGGGTGGGATTGGTCAGTGGGGCGGGTTAGTCAGTGGGGTGGGGTTGGTCACTGGGGTTGGTCAGTGGGGCGGGGTTTGTCAGTGGGGCAGATTGGTCAGTGGGGTTGGTCAGTGGGGGTGGTCAGTGGGGCTGGTCAGTCGGGTTGGGGTTGGTCAGTGGGGTGGGGTTGGTCAGTGGGGTGGGGTTGGTCAGTGGGGTGGGGTTGGTCAGTGGGGAGGGTAGGACAGTGGGGTTGGTCAGTGGGGTTGGTCAGTGGGGTGGGGTTGGTCAGTGGGGTTGGTCAGTGGGGTTGGTCAGTGGGGTTGGGGTTGGTCAGTGGGGTTGGTCAGTGGGGTTGGTCAGTGGGGTTGGGGTTG